CACTGAACTTTCCTCACAGAGATTCATTGATTCAATTCATCTCTATGAAGAGATGCTGATTGGCCAGGGCTGTGTTGGAATCATGCTGGCTCTGCCCCTGATCTGCCTCTTTGTCAGTATCAGCCAATCCTATGGGGAAGCATTGTGATCGGATCAGGCTACCACTTCTGATGATGTCAGCAGACTGCTTGTTTTTCTGAGGCAAACAGTATGCAGATCTACAGCTTCAGGCTTGAATACAGTAAGATTTTGCTATATTTATGAAGGCATGTAGGGATCCCAGGGGGCTAGATTATGTTTTTAACACTATAGGGTCAGGAATACATGTTTGTGTTTCTGACCCTATAGTAATCCTTTAAAAGGGAACACATGGGGTGGGTGGCAGCATTGTAACATGGCTGTGTGATACAAAACCAAATTCAAATATACAAAATTAAGTCCTTCACTCAAACTCCCACTACTCCTGGGGGCTGCAATGGCTATAGTACACATCAGCCCCAACTCGTACAATAAAAATACTAAGAAAAATGTTACTTGCACACTACCCCAAATCCCTATGAACGTTTAAATAACTGTAGTTTTTTTCGGATCACTCCAATGGCCATTCAAGTGTAAGCTCACCTGCCACGTCAAGGCAAACCTCTAAGGTAAAAGCTGTAATGAGACAGAGAGGGGTATCTTACTAAACCCTTACACTCGTATTAACCCATAATAGGGTAAAAGTACAAATATGAGACATGTGCATTCATTTTCAGATTAATTGCAATTTGGACAATGGTGACTCTTGGAACACAAAATATACCACAGTTAAAATGGGGAGGGGTACTAATAATTTTCAACCCTAAATTATATCATATATTAAATGCAGGGAAGGGATAGGAAATGTAGTGGGTGTATTGCAGGATATGGGCTATAGAGCGTGTAGGGAGTAATAGGTGCCGTAGTGGGTGCAGGGGATGGATAGGGTTGTAGTGGGTATAGGGGGCATTGTGGCTGTAGTGGGTGCAGTGGCTTATGGAGGCTGTAGTGTTAGCAGAAGAGGGACATGGGATGTAGTGGATGCAGGGAGCATAGGGGCTGTAGTTGGCATAAGGAGCATAGGTGCTGTAGTGGATGTGATGTGGGTAGTGGGTGCAGTGGGTTATGGAGGTTGTAGTGTGTGCAGTAGAGGGACTGGGGATGTAGGAAGCATAGGGGCTGTAGTGGGTATAAGGAGCAAAAGGGCTGTAGTGGGTGCAGAGTATGTACAGGGGCGGGCCTGTGGGAACAGGTAGTAATTAGGGCTTTAGTTAGTGCAGGGGAGGGATAGTGGCCGCAGTGGCAGCAAGGGTTAATATAGACTGTAGTGGGTGCTGTGGGGTAATAGAGGCTGTAGTGGGTGCTATGGGGTAATAGAGGCTGTAGTGGTTGCATGGGGTATATCTGCTTTAGTGTGTGCAAGGGAGGGATAGGGGCTTTAGTCTGTGCAGGGGGTGATAAAGGCTGTAGTGGGTGCAGGGGGCATAGGGGCTGCAAGGGGGATAGAGGCTGTGGTGGGTAGTAGAGACTGTAGTGGGTGCAGGGGGATAGGGACTGTAGAGGTACCAAATTAGCTAGTTGTAGTCTCTTTTGCAGAGAGCACTTATTTGGTATCTTTAAATTTGGCTATACCACATAAGGGTAGTAAATTAAGGAAATATCTACTAAATAACTAAAAGAGCAAAATTAAAAAAAGGCTTTAATTGCAGCTGCTTAGTAGATAGCTTTCTAATTTGTTATCTTTATGTGAGATTGCCATATTTAAGGATATTAAATAAGCGAGCTATCTACTAAACAGCTCCCTAATTTTATTTAGGGAATTATCTACTAAACAGCTGAAAGATCAAAATTAGGAAAAGGGATTTCCCTAGTTTTGGTGTTTTTTACTGTTTAGTAGATAGCTCCCTAATTTGGGACCCCTATGTGGGATTGCCATATTGAAGAATACCAAATCAGAGCACTATATTCACTAATAAGTGGAGATCCCTCCCTAATTTAGTATCATTAAATATGTCAATTCCACATAAGGGTACAAGATTAGAGACTTGTCTAAATATCTAAACCACTGAAAGATTTGCAGACGAGCATGGCATTTCATTTGTACAAATAGAAATTCCGTACTGAATTTTATCCAAAAGTAATTGCTTAATGAACGAAAATTGTTACAGAGAAAACAAAATTCATTTGGAAGAATCAAACATTTCCGCCATGCAAAGTGAAGTGCTAGTTCCCTAATTTGGTATCCTGTACAGTCTATAATAAGGAAAAAAAAAAAAACCATCGCATTAAAAAAATCCATGTGAGCCTTTATGGACCTTCTCTCTTCGGAGGATGGGCTATGCAAGGCACAGCTGGTTCAATGGCATAAACCACTCTAGACCTCTTTTCTGGTTTTCTTTGGTAGAGTGTGGAAGAATAATGAGAGCCAGTGGCGTACATATTGCGGTCGCAGGGTTCGCAGCTGCAACCGGCCCGTCACTCGGGGGGGGGGGCTCGGTCGACCTGTGGACCCCTCCGCCTCCATGTGCTTCCCCGGCCTGCACTGTATAACCACCGGGGCCGCACGTTAAGGGGCACATCGGGTGGCCCATGCTGTTAGGGCTACCCGATTGATGTGGATTTCCACAGGGCCTGGTCAGCGCTTTGGCGCTTTAACAGTGCGACCTGGCCCCCCATGATGGCATCACAGCTGGAAGGAAGTGACTGCCCCGTCACTCCTCTCAGCTTACAATGGGAGTCGTGCGGGAGGAAGAGAGGAGGGAGTCAGAGTGGGAACCCCGACTTCCATTAGGCTGAGCCTCCACTGGACCCGAGGGAATTCACCCTTCTGCATCTAAAAGGTAGGAAACAGGAGGGTGACTAAAATATTTTGTATATGTGTTTGTTTTTATGTATGTGTTTGTGTCTGTATGAATGTTTCTCTGTATGTGTGTCTGTATGTGTGTGTGTCTGAATATATGTGTCTGTGTGTGTGTGTGTTTGTATGTATGTGTGTGTTTGTATGTATGTGTCTGTATGTATGTATGTGTGTTTGTATGTGTGTGTACAGTGGCGTACATGAAGGGGTCGCATTTGCGACGGGGTCCGGCCACCCTGCGGACCCCTGCGACCGGGTGGCCGCCGCCATGTGTTGCGGCTCCCCGCCCGCGTGGTGTAACCGCCGAGGGGTGGGGGCACGGATCAGTTTTCGCACCAGAGCCCCATGGATCGCCACTGATGAGAGCCTTGAACCCTCTCGATCATTACCTGCCCATAATGACTTAACCCTTTAAAAACACATTTGGCATTTTTAGTTCATGTATGAAGATGTCACGCAACTTGGGCTTCAAAATGAAAAAAGGATTACTCAAACATAAGACATATAATAGTTGTCAATGCCTTATTTTTCCGGGGCAAGTGCTAGAGTTGAGCATTGCTAGAATCTGAATGCCTGTTGATTGTTTACCCCCTACCCTGGAATGGTCACAAAAGGAAGGGATTACTCACAATAGATTTATCAGTCAAAACTTGCTCTACAGGTTAGGGAGCTAGCTGATGGGATCATGAAGTGTCAAGGCAATCTTACATGTGTATTGCAAAAGAACACATTGTGTCAATACTGCTTTGTCATTGTCTGGATCGAAAAATTATTTTAATGTATATTTTATTTCAGTGCAAATCATGATTTCAAACCAGCTGCTGCACATACATTAAAATTGGTGCTTAAAGCACAGGTTGACCATTACCAAACAGTGCAGGCAACCCTAATCTCAGGGCCTGCATGCATTTATTTCCTGATTCACTCAAGATTAATGAGAGTTATGCTCCTGGGAGACAGTTGTATGTGCAATTGCCACCATTTTAATTAAACCCTCTTCCTCTACTGAGAATGATATTGTGGTAAAGGAGCTATGGAGACAGGAACAACTTGATTTTATCTCTCCAACTCCTTTGCCAGCAAGTACGGAGAGCTGTTTTAATGGTGGCAGGCCCAATTAGCAGTGGCTGCACTGGTGTCTAAGCCCCATCAATTTCGGACAACACAAGTATATATGTCCTACTGGAACCCTATGATTAAAGGAACCCTAAACCTGACTCTATAAATAAGATAATATATTTATTTTTAAAGTTACAGTGTTAGTATTAGTACTTAGTTTTCTAAAAGTTAAAATTTTGAAACTCATTTAAGTAGCTCATTAAAAGACTCTCCTTTATTCCAGCACTGGGTTAGTCTCCCTAGAGCAATCTTTTCTCCACTCCAGTCTACACCTCCTTACTGAAGTCATCAGGAATTATGACTTTTCATTCAGATAGCGAAAGATTGTGGGCATAGGGTACATGTGCATGGTTTGTTATGATGTCTCTAAAAATCCCTTATCGACATTATTTTCCCATAAAACTCAGTTATATATATTTATATATATATACTTGTATGTACATAGTGGGGAATCATGATGCAGGATAATAACATCAACTAACCCAAATTCACCCCCCAAATAATGACAGACAACGTATTATGGCTGAAACAGGCCACAACATTTATTATAACATATGATAATTACTGTATAACACATCCATAGTTTATTTTAATATTCTCTTTTCTTTGATATAACAAAAATGTCAAAACATAAATAACCATAACTTAACATATAACTTAACACATAGTGTCATACAGTGTAACCCAACTGTCCTTGCCAATAAACTGACCATGCGCCAATATACCACTTCCTCTCACCTCCCCCCTGGGCATAAATTCCTTTTTCTTCCAATGCTTACCACCAGCCTACCTTTTCCTCGCTCGGTGGGTACATCATAACAGGTAACCTAAGGTTAACCCTTTAGCGCAGGGGAGGTTGAGACCTGAAACTTGATCACTTCATTGCACATATTAACCTAACCACCTCAAACTTAATTGGCAAGGACATACCCCCGGCTAGCTGCGACGAAACAAAAATTGATTTGCATGTCAATGAGTAGCTTGGTTGCTACTTTTAAGTGCTGCTTCAAAGTGTGTGCTTGGAGATATTCTGGAGAGTTTTACAGATTCTTCAACTGTCCAAGATTTTGCCAAGAGTTTTCTTTTTACTGTTACAAGTAAGTTTAATCTATAGGAAAAGGTTACTGATTGCACAAGGTTTGATTTCCTGTTGGTAATTTGGTAAGATTCATCTATAGAAAAAGGTTACTAATTGCACAAGGTTTGATTTCCTGTTGGTAATTGGTAAGGCATTTGATTAGCTAGATGTTTGCTATTGATTGTTGGTTAATTAGCTATTGTTTGCAAATAAGTATAGGCCTACCGAGGTGTTAAACATTCCTAGTGGATGGTGCTTTAATGAGTTATATAAGGGTTGTGGTCATTAGCTTGCCTAATATAGCTTGGTTGCTATATCTAAGTGCTGTTTCAAAGTGTGTGCTTGCAGATATTCCGCAAATATATCTGTAAGAGAGTGCTGCTTCAAAGTGTGTGCTTGGAAATATTCTGGAGATGTACTGGAGGTAATCTGAGTCATACAAGAGGACAAAAAAAAAATGTTTGCTTGAATTAAATTACTCACCTCATTAAATGGCAGACATAGTTCAGTGTAATAGTTGTAATGCATTTGTTTCAAGTTCCACTTTTTGAAGATTTGGATGCTGTTTAATCTGTAGACAGTTCTCTATATTGTGGCAGGAGATTGTATTTTTATTTATTTTATATTTTTGCAGTGCATAAGATTTGTACATAGAAAAAGTGAACCTGGTGGAACACACCACCAAAAAATCCCACTCGATGGAGTACTAGTATAAGATACACTTACCCCACTAGAGACCAGAGTGTAAGGGTATGGACCTAACTCACATGGTATAGAGCCCTATAAGGATAGGCTCAGGTCTCTGAAGCAGGGGTGTATCTGGTGATACCAAACCTTCTCCAGATTCTTGACCCAGTGGTTCTCAGATGTGGAGACAAAAAGGAGACAAAATACCCTAGTGCAAAATTGTTGAGGTAGAAAGTTAGCCAACGTGCTAGTGCAATAAACTGCTCACATTGCTCCAATTATTACTCCAATTATAATAGGCTCTTGGTATCAAAGCGTGTGTGTCTTTAAGGGAAGCACTACCCTTCTTGTATACAGGGGCAGGAAACAGTAAAGGTCCACAGGACTGGTGATCACATAAAATTACACTTTATTTATAAAAAACAAATAAAAAGTTATATAAGTAACTAATACTAGTCCCAAAGTATATAGTGTAGAGTGGACCCTCCTCTCTCTCCATGACGCGTTTCGCCGGTTGGCTTTATCAATCGGAATGTTTGTATTCTTATGTCTGATTGGTAGCCGTGCTCCTTCGGTGGCCAATCATTAAGCTGGTGGTCGGGTGTGTGTGGCTACAGCTGTTGCTCATAGCCACTTCATCCGAAAGCGGAAGTGACTTTGCGGACCAGATGCAATGTCCTTGAAGATACGCCCACCTCACTGTCTTAACACTGAGTCTGCACCTACCTCGTCATATCCGCTGAAGTCCAAGAAGCCATCTTGTGTGTGGGCGATTCTCTCCTTAATAAACATATTTATCTATCGTGAATGCTGACAGTGTATTCCGAATGACTTGTAGTCTATCACAGTCTCATAGACATGTAATTCATTTAAAGACCACGGAAAATTAAGGCATAAAACAAGGGGAGGAAAGAGATAAAAAAAAAAAAATGAATTAAAAAGGAGAAATCAATCAGAGGAATAATCCTTATTAGATCCTCACTTATTTTTAGCAGCAAATATGGGATAAATATATATTGGGAATAGTAACATCTAAAAGGAACAGATATCTAGGTAACTTAAACACCATATATATTTAAATGTGTATATATATAAATATATATTAACATGTAATTCACAGAGAGCACTTATTTGATGACCACATAATTGACATATATATTAATTAATAATCAGTAATTCTAATAAAAAATCTAATACAAATCTAGATAAAAATAAATAAAAACTGGGAACAATAAAAATATTTATAAAAAATCTTGTTATAAAAAGTGGCAAAAAACGGCACTAAAAACGCATATTCACGGTCTTGAGGACAGATACTTATGCACGTTAATACAGAGAATCACCCCAGCTCCGCTCTGATACCAAGCACGAGGCCATCAAAGCACCGGGAGCAACGACCCCGATACACCTGGCCTACCTACCTCCACAAGCCAAGACACCAGCGGCATATATATATAAGCAAGATCCACATACCTAGAAAGGAACATGTGCCAGAGATACTTACCTTTGAGGAGGGCAGTGCTGGCTCGGGGCATGGCCCCGCTTCCCACCCTGGCCGGCGGGGGTAACCCAGGCCACGTGGCGAATACACACACCGTGGCGGGAGCCTCCGACCTCGGCCCGTGCCCATCCCCCCAACTGGCAAAACTGCCTAAGGGAGACACATCAGAAGAGTGGAGCGGAGGACGACCAGCCTGCGCACGAGGGGATGCCCAGTGCTCACCTTTAGACCAGAGGCAGCCGGGGCCTTGGATGGTCCGCCCAGACAGCCCATGAGCCGACAACATGGCAGCTTGACCTTCGGATGAGGTGGGCATCCGGAGGAACTTGTCCCCACCGCTGTGAGCCCGACGGGGCTGGGTACTGCGCGCCCCCGGCGGACCGGTGGCTGAGGGGCTGTGCATCCCCTGTCCCGTAGAAGCGGCCGGCGCTGGTGAGACAGGCGGAGCGACCCATGTACCTACCGGGGTACCGAACCAGAGCATGGAGACAAATATACACCGCAGCTCACACGAGGGCCTCCACGTACTCCCTCCCCCCTATTCCTGACTCCACGGAGAGTCTGGATATTTATCTTTTCATTTCATTGTTCACTTTAATTTAATATTGTTTTCATTTTAATATTGTATCACTAAACCTAGAGGCTGTGCTTGCTGAGGCCGATTTAGGCTGTTGGTGTTTGACAGACATTGCAAGGTTCGGAGTTATATTAACATGTTTAAATAGGAGAATGTTTTGCTTTATGCTACCACCGACCAGCCAATCTACCATGTTACCGTATTATTTACTTGCCTTTCACTACTATGCCTGTTAAATACGATGTTATACTACGATGTTATCTTGCTACATTGTCTTTGACGCACATATATGCCTTTTTGATGTACACACCAATGAAGCTAATAAACTTTGAATGATAAAAAAAAAAAAAAAAAAGTGGCAAAGCTCAAAATCATTATTCAAAACCTTTGGTTGCAACATATTTCAATTAAAAATCCACTTCATTTCTGTTTGTCCCATTTTTTAAATAATATCATTGCCCTTCCAGTTAAAATTAACTTACTGAATGCCCATAAAATTCATTTGACTTGGGTCACAATGGTGTTTAATTTAAAAATTTAAGGACAAACTATGTTTGGTAAAACCGTTTCTAATATTACATATGTGTTCCTGTATTCTAACCTATAGTAGTAGTATCTCCTATGTAATAGATCACATGTACATTTAATCATATGGATTACATGTTTAACATAAGATTTCTTTAATCTTAAAATGTATGTTAATGTTTTGTGGGTGTGGGAATTGTTTTATATTTCTTTTGGAGCTTTTTGTGTTCTTACAAGCTCCGCACATTCCACATCCATAGAACCTCTTAGATTCATTGAATGGATTTTGTATAGTCCTAGTTAAAGAAGATTGATTCTGAGTAAGATTACATTTTAGATCTGGAACACCCCTATATATAATTATTGGCTTCTCTGGAAGAATCAAGTTAAGTGTTTCATCACTTTTTAAAATCGGCCAATGTTTATTCATAATTTTTTCTCAATTGTTCACTTTGACAGTTAAAATCACAAATAAAATATATGTTATCTTTTAAATTCTTTTGTTTTTCCTTATATCTCTATCTAGCAACTTATTACCATAGCCTTTATCACTAAAATCATCAGTACAGTTTCTTTTAATTCTCATTAATTGTGATTTCGGGGGATTTAAAAGCCATGGGGAGTAGTGGCAGCTGTTACCTTGAATAGCTGTTTACATCAACTTTTTTTAAATAGGTACTCATTTTAATTTTGTTCCCTTCTATATAAATATTAAGATCTAGAAAATGAACACATCTGTTACTAAAAACACAAGCCTGAGGTACCCCAAAGGCAATTCTCAAGCGTGATATCATGCAATACAATTGGGGTATTAGCGTTATCGTGCACCAATTTTTTTTATATTAAACAAGATTAACATGGGATAACTCTAGAACACAGACATGTTGGGTGTGCTTGTGCAGGTATGAGATCAACGTGTGTGAGTCAACATGACTGTGACTAAAGGTGAAGCAAAGCAATACTGGCAGCATGCTGGAAGCGTAAGGTAATGATTATTCAATATACGTTAAGTCTCTAGACAGGTTGCTTGGGTATTCCGTCTGATCCGATGCCGTCGTCAATATGGCTTGGTATCAGAGTCCTGTGTAGGCAGGGTGTGGAAAGCCAATTCTGCCCCTCTAGTTACTACTCCTGGCATTCATTCAATTTCCCTACAATCGTCTCTGCGTACTTGTGTGTTCAGTCCGCATTGGGGAGCACTCTAGCAGTGTGAAGGCAGGGCGCCCCTCCAGCCCCAGGGTTGTGTGATAGCCGGTACCTGTTTGCATGACCCTGGAGTCCGTTGAGGTCCAGGGTCTTCCATTTTGGGGATGTATTACATTTTGTCTGTGCGGGCGTCCTTTAGCTCTCCCTATGTGTGGCTGGTACTTGCGGGTTGGGTTCCTCTTGGCTTCCAGCCTGGGTGGGCTGCTTGAGTTGTGTGTAGAAGATGGGGACAAGTTTGGGCCCTCGAGAGGTTTCCCAGGCCTCCTCTTGCTGCCATCTTTTGCTCCTGTCGGGGGTACTTGTAGATTTATTGCTTGCCCTTTGCGGTCTAACAGCTTTGCCCCGAATCTTTCGAATATCTCGTCGAGTGTCAGTCGCTTTGTGGCTGGGGCCTGCTGAGTCTGGCTGTGACAGTTTCTGGTCACGTGTGGTGGGGCCTCGTCTACGGGGGTGACGGTGGTCATTGAGTCTCGCACAGTTGCGTCTTGGGTCTGCAGGAGGAAAGCTGCCGCCTTTCCCCCACGCCGTCTCTGGTAGGCCGCAACTTACCGGGCTCTCAGGTCATCGGCTCCGGTGTCGGAAGTAACGGGATGATTACCCCTGTTAGTAGGACTCTTTGGGTCCCGAATTTCAGACCTCCAGCCCGCAAAATCTCCAGTTTTGTTGCTGTGTAGCGGGAGCTCATGCGAGAAGCGTCTAGCTTGCTCGCTGGTTCGACTCCGCCCCAGGAGATTGTATTTTTGAAGTCTGAGATTTGTAAATTATCCGGTAAACAAACTCAGGCTGGAACTGTTGCAAAGCCACTGCCACAGAGACATACTAGCAATGGCAGATGGATTACTGTAGGATCTGGTAGATTTAGAGTTGTGGATAAAAGGCATATTACACAGTCTGTTGCTCTACATAATTAATTTTCAGCACTTTCAGAGTGTAATGGTGTTATGGAGACAGGTTCAGGTATCAAGTGTAGTGGTGTTATAGAGACAGGCTCAGACACTGTGCCTAGTGGTGTTATCGAGACAGGCTCAGACACTGAGCCCAGTGGTGTTATGGAGACAAGCTCAGGCACTGAGTGTAGTGGTGTTGTGGAGACAGGCTCAGGCACTGAGTGTAGTGGTGTTGTGGTGACATTCTCAGGCACCAAGTGTAGTGGTGTTGTGCAGACATTCTCAGGCACCGAGTGTAGTGGTATTATGGAGAAAGGCTTGTGGTGAGGCCTAATAGATAGCAGTTGTTTTGGGGGGATTCTATCATAAGAGGTGTGGAGCTGGACAATAGTGGTCTTGTAAGATGTCTTTCCGGAGCTACTGCTCACAGAGACAGGAGACGTATTTATAATATTGTTAAGGTAACTTTAATCTTCCTGATGTAAACTGGAAAACCAAAATAGCTGCTTGTGCCAAGAGCACACATAATCTAAACCCTACTGGGATTGTCTCTAAAACAAGTTGTTGAGGAGCCAACTCGTAAAGAGGCCATACTAGATTTAGTAAAACGTAAGAAAAGGTGATTGCGCAATTTCGGTATAACTCCCAGATTATATGGATAATCTCTAGGCTCTGTAAATACAGAAAACCAACATAGGGTCATAGGCGTGCGCAGCCTATTGTATAAGGGTGTGCACCCTAAAGCAGAAACACACACGCCGCGTATATATATATATATATATATATATATATACACACATACATACACACACACACTGCTGTGTGTGTGAGGGTGCTGTGTGTAGGTGCTGTGTGTGCAGGCGCTGTGTGTGTGAAGGCGCTGTGTGTGTTTGAAGGTGCTGTTAGTGTGTGCTTTGTGTGTGTAAGGGTGCTGTTAATGTGTGCTGTGTGTGTGTATGTGTAAGGGTGCTGTGTGTGTGAGGGTGCTGTTAGTGTGTGCTGTGTGTGTGAGGGTGCTGTGTGTGTGAGGGTGCTGTGTGTAAGGGTGCTGTTAGTGTGTGATGTGTGTGTGTGTATGTGCGAGGGTGCTGTGTGTGTAAGGGTGCTGTTAGTGTGAGGGTGCTGTTAGTGTGAGGGTGCTGTTAGTGTGTGTGTGTATGGGTGTTGTTAGTGTGTGCTGTGTGTGTGTGAGGGTGCTGTGTGTAAGGGTGCTGTTAGTGTGTGCTCTGTGTGTGTATGTGTGAGGGTGCTGTGTGTGTAAGGGTGTTGTTAGTGTGAGGGTGCTGTTAGTGTGTGTGTGTGTGCTGTGTGTGTAAGGGTGATGTATGTGTGTGTGTAATGTGTGGGGTTGTGGGAACCGTTTAGTTAATATCCCCCCTCCCTTCTTACCTTATGTAGGGAGGGGGGACCGTGCTCCTGCCTTCCCTGGTGGTCCAGTGGAGAGTGAACTCTAGCCCCCTGTGGGGCTAGAGTTGACTCTCGCGAGATCTGAGCGTTGCCTCAGTAACCGCGCGAGAGGAACCCGGCGGAGCTGCTGACAAGAGTCCTCTCCTGCCTCCCTCCCTGCCTGCCTCCCTCCTGATACCATCATGGAACTGCTTGGACTTGCCCCTCCTCCCCTAATGAATTATTAACATGAGAGAACACGCCCCCGTATGGCTGCTGCAAATGGCGCCGTAATGACGAAACCGGAAATGATGATTTCCGGTAATGACGAAAAAACGGAAATGACGAATCGGAATGAGCCGCAATGCGCGACCATGTTGAGAAGGACATGATTAACTCACAGAGATGGAGGATTCAAGCAGACATATTGGAGGAGGTGGAAATACAAGAAAGAAGCCGGAAATGCTCCATATAAGAACAGAAGGAGGGATTATTGTTACACACCTGTAATTGTTTTCTAGATGTTTGCCATATATAAATGAAAACTGATGCAGTTGCAACTACATATGCACCTGAGGAAGCTTTTCTATTTATCATTTTATAATTTTTTTTTTTATTCTGTATAAATAAAAGTATTTACTATATTTGCATCTGGCTACCTGGTTCCTGATTCATTCTACAGAGGACTTCAAACACCTCCTGAGGGGACCGAGCACAGATATATGCAGGGGCGGACTGAGAACCCTCAGGGCCCCCGGGCAAAATAAATCAAGGGCCCCCTTACAGGCCCCACCCATACTCTGCAGCAAGCGCCACCCTTGTCCCGCCTCCATGCACCGCCTCCAGCCACACCCTACACAATCTTTAGACACAAGGAACAAAAGGGCAATAAGCCCTTCGAGGCCCCAGTAGAGACTACAATTGAGGGCTAATGGGCCATGGAGGGGGTCTTTCTAGCGGAGGCTATCTCAGTGTCCTTTAGAGAGTGTGTTAGAAAGAATCCCCTCCAAGCCCCATTAGAGACTACAATGGAGTCTAAAAGGCTTGGAAGGGGGTCTTTCTAACAGAGGCCATCTCAGCGTCCATTAGATATCCCCTGCTGGAAACAGTCGCCTCCAGGCCCCAGTAGAAACTACAATTGAGGGCTAATGGGCCATGGAGGGGATTTCTAGCAGAGGCTAGAGTCTAATGGGGCCTGGAGGGTGGTCTCTCCAACACTCTGGTTCCTATTCACAATATAGCAACACAACATAGCTCGCTGATACCTAAGCCAAGTTGGCTCTTCTTACCTTAATTACTGTTGCTGGCTGGCAGTCTGTGGGCTTGCTGGCTGTGGCTGGCAGGCTGTGGGCTTGCTGGCTACTGCCGGCAGGCTGTGGGCTTGCTGACTGCGGCTGGCAGGCTGCGGCTGGCAGGCTGTGGCTTGCTGGCTGTAAGCCTGTGGCTTGCTGTAGGCCTGTGGGCTGGCTACTGGCCTGTGGGCTGGCTACTGGCCTGTGGGCTGGCTAGCCTGTGGGCTGGCTACTGGCTGGCTACTGGCCAGCCTGTGGGTTGGCTGGCTGGCTACTGGGGCACTTGTAGATTATTTAAAGAAATAATCCATGCACAATAACCACTACTGCTCCAGAGTAAGTAGTCAAACCGTTTAAGAACAGTTTGACAACTTACCTGGGGTCTGCTGGGATATGAGGCTGTAGTAGGGAATAGGAGCAGTGGTGCAATGTGTGTGAAAGGTTCAGTGTGTGTGTGGGGGTGTAGTGTGTGAATGTGTAGGGTGTGTGGGCAGTGTATGTGTGTGGCAATGTTAGTATGGGGGGCTGTGTATGGGGGTCTGTGTGTATATGGGTGGGCAGTGTATGTGTGTGTGTGAGGCAATGTGTGTAAATGTGTATGGTGTGTATGGGGGCAGTGTGTGAATGTGTATGGTGTGTGTGGGGGCAGTGTGTTTATGGGGCTAGAGTTCACTCTCACCACTGCGACCACCAGGAATCCATGGGGGTTACAGTGTTGAGAGTAAACTCTAGCCCGTAGCTCCAGGGCTAGAGTTGACTAGAGTAGAGTTGGCAGTAACGTTGCCATGGTAACCGCGGCAACGCTCTGTGCTCGCGCAAGAAGGACCCAGAGGAGCTGCAGGGTGAGCTCCCAGGTCCTCTCTTCCTCCCCTGCCCGCACGGTGCCTGCGGACAGGGGAGGGGGGGCATTCTTCCCTCTCTTTCTCCCCCAATCTCTCTATTCCTCCTCTTTCTCCCCGTGTCTCATTCTTCCCTCTCTGTCTCTTTCTCCCCCTCCCTCTATTCCCCCTCTTTCCCCCGTGTCTCATTCTTCCCTCTCTGTCTCCCCCCTCCCCATCTCTCTATTCCCCCTGTGTCTCATTCTTCCCTCTCTGTCTCTTTCTCCCCCTCCCCATCTCTCTATTCCCCCTCTTTCTCCCATGTCTCATTCTTCCCTCTCTGTCTCTGTCTCCCCCTGTGTCTCATTCTTCCCTCTCTTTCTCCCCATCTCTTTATTGCCCCCCCTTTCTCCCCCTTTCCCATCTCTATGTCCCCTCTCTTTCTCCCCCCTCCCCATCTCTCCCCTCTCTTTCTCCCCCCTCCCCATCTCTCCCCTCTCTTTCTCCCCCCTCCCCATCTCTCCCCCCTCTTACTAGTCAGAGGGGGCTGGCCGTTTCATTTTAGAGCCGCCGGACCGGGTGGCAGCCTCGCCGGTCCGGCGGCATTCCGCTCACTAACACTGAAGAAGAAGGAGGAGGAGGAGCATGTGTCTGTCATGCTCCTTTGCGGTTCCCACATCCTGTGCTGGGAATTGTGGGAACCGCAGGGAGCATGACAGACACATGCTCCTCCTCCTCCTCCTCCTTCAGTGTTAGTGAGAGGAATGCCGCCGGACCGGCGAGGCTGCCACCCGGTCCGGCGGCTGCAGCATGAAACGGCCGCCCCCCCCCTCACAGTGTGCCACCGGACCGGCCACCCGGTGGCACCTGCAGTCCCCAAATGCCGCCCCCAATCCAGCCCTGCCGCCGGGCCCCCTGAAGGCGGCCCTGGCGGCGGGCCCCCCTCCCGGCCGGGCCCTCGGACCGTGTCCGAAGTGCCCGACCGGTCAGTCCGCCCCTGGATATATGCACATCTGATTGATGTATCCTGCCTTCATAGTTTAGAGCAAACTCAGAAATGCTCCGAAGATTGTGAGTTTTT